AAGTGCCGCACTTTGATTTTCATAAAAAACAGGGTTGTCATTTAAAAAAATTATCGATGACGTCATATCTCATATTTGAGGCACACTGTATAATTTTTTTTTGCATTAAAATAAAGGTAATTCAAAATACTAATCGACGTGTCCGAGCATATTTCCGAAAGAAACAACACCTTTGATTTAGTGAATTTGTTCCATGTTAGAGACTCGCACTGTAGATAAGAATACAATTCAAATATTCGTATCAATATTAGTAATCATGCTTTGAACTAACTGATATTGAGACAAAAATTGTCTGAAAAGAGGGTTTAAAAAAGTAACATATTGATTTAATGGTTTGAATTTTGAATTATTTGAATTTTAATATATGTCCTTAGGCTTTGACAAGAAGCAGGTAAAACTTTTCGTGAACATATTTATCAAGAAACTATCAAGATATGTTGAGAGTCGAAATTGTAAAGGAAAGAAATTTTCTGTAGAGTTTTATGATAAAATGGGTTAATACCACAGGGAAACCACTACAAAATAGTTTCTTCTGGCTTCACAAATATCTAATACATGTGAGTATGTTGTACGCTTCCAATATATCAAAAAAATTATTGAAAATGGAATATTTAATTTTCCTACCTTGTTGACAAACAGCTTCGAAAGACATCAGAGTAATATCGCTCACGGTGTAGGTTCTTCTTCCGCTCTGAAAATGAGACTTTTTAAATGGTTTCGTTTCGGACAGCATAAACGTAACACTCACCTGGCATTTTCTCTTTTCCCAATTCAACAAATAAAATAGAAATGTGCCAAAAATTATTAAAATTATAATGGACGCAATCCACACTTTGTTAGTGAATGTCATCCAATAAATATTTTCAATATAAGACATCGACGGTTTTTTCAAAATGAATTTGGATCCCCACGAATCGAACGTTTTGATGAATTCAACCACTTTGTGGCGTTCTTCCGTCAAAAATAGAGCTGTTCCTAAAACAAAAATGCCTCAACCATCTATTTCCAAACAACTTTATACAGTGGTAAATAGTCCAGTTGAAGATATCAAGGCCAACTGAATTTTCGTGAGAAAATAACATTTTTAGTACAGCTTGGCAAATCTAGCAGTGCCTCTGAATATTGAATGCGCAATAGATCGGCCGACCAAGTGGGGCGAGAGCCCATTAACATCGAAGAACTCGTGTAGGGAACATCGTGTTAGTATAGTAAGTGGATGCTTATTTGACATCATCCGAGAAATATGTTGAAAAATATAATATCAAAATATGTTTTCCCGTCTACCAGCTGTCGCACCCCTTCGAACGACAACTGTTAGAAGCTGAAATTTGTGCGAGCTATGGATTAACGAGGTCTCACCTTTTAACATATGATTTCTAACACGAGTTGGACGATATCAAGTGAACATCGATCGCTCAGCATGCGGCTTGAACCACCGACTCACACATCGGTCGATTGAGAGAGTGAAAAAAGCACCTACGTCAAACCGCCAGGCTACCGACCTCATTTGATTTTTCTGTGATGCAGCTAGGATATTTTTTGCACTCAAACACAGTATATTTATACGACGCGAAAGAGAATGAACTACATAAACTACATGATACTAATAAAATATATAAGTACCTACCATTTCTTTTTCGGAAATCATGAAAAATATTTTTCTCAATGTGGAATTATTGACAGAAATCTATCATACAGCTTTGGCTTCCCTGAAAATGAATTCTGAAATCCGGTGCCTCCGTCTTGTAGTTAATGAGCAAGAAAATATCTTCAACCTACGCAAAATCATCGAAATTGGCTACTTCCAAACTTTTGTTGTTATTTACTACCACGCTCACTATAACTTCGGATTTATGAAAGTTCCGTCGCCTGCTAGTAGTTGGGATATTTTTGTAAAAGTACATTAATCCATTTTGGGAAGACCAATTTCCATAGTGTTCCAATGCTAGGAAAAATAATGTTGTTTCGGTGTAATAGCAGTAATGATTCATCGTTATAGATATTACCTATTATTGAAAATAGTAAAAAAGTATTTTCTCTTCATCAATTATACCAAAAGCTGTTTGCTTGCTGTGGAAGTTTTTTTTTTTCAAGGACAGAACATAAGCACTACAGAGAAATCTTTAAGGCGCTCTAAAAGCGGTACCCGTGCGAAAGTAGCGATTCAAGTTGGATTTGAATCATTTGGTAAACCGTTCTCAGGAAGTGCATTCCACATGCACACAGTTCTCCAAATGAAAGAGTTCTTTAACAGTGAAGTTCGAGGTGTACTGAGTTAAACCTCGAAGCAATGAGCAGCCAGAGTCCGTCGCGTACCGCTCTTGGTGGAATCGAATGTGCCAAGTCACTTGAACACCTTCCTTGAAAGGCTATTTCTGGATAAAATCCAGCAGCTTCAGGATATGCTTAGGGGCGGAGCTCCATACATGTGAATAATACTCCAAAGGAGGCCTGATCTGAGCTCCATAAAGCATCAAAAACTGCTGAGGTGTGTACAGTGTTCTTGTTTGGAAAATGTTCCAAGCTTTTGAGAAGCAGCTTTTGCAATTCCATTTTAACCCCCAACATACTTATCGAATCAGAAATCGGAATTCTAGCTCTGTTACGCCAGCAACGCAAAGTACGGAAATCGCATTTAGAAAATGCCAAAATTAGGTACTTTTTAGGTGCTCAATTTTCATTTGCTATCGTCCAACCCGTCACACGTTAAAAGGTAAGATCTCGTTAGTTCTTAGCTCGCACAAGTTTCTCAACTTCTGAGAGTTGTCGTTCGTATGGGAGCGACAGCTGATTAGCGGGAAAACAGATTTTGAACAGATTAGAAAGTTTGTTTTATTGGAGGCATTTGTGAATATTATTTTGCAGGATGGCTAGGAGAAATTAATACTTCGAATGATAATTGAAACATGTCGGAAATCTCTGCTCTAATATTGTTCTTGGATAACTTTTATTTTTAATGTAGCTACCGTGAAATATCAACCATTTCTATTTTGGGCTATTTCTATGGGTGGCTATGTTTTTTACTGTACAACAATAAATATCATAATTGAATACAAGTATGTTGTTACCTGGGAACACTTACCAGCAATATCAGCTTTTCCTTCAGACACGTAGTTGACCATTCCATCAAATTTTCCTGTAGTTTCGTTCAAATATCCGTAAGAAGTAAATACTCTAAATGTAAAAGATGCATTCATATACTGTAGTAGGCTGTAAACGTTAGGAAAATCTTGAAAAAAGTACGGCTCATCAGCTTTGGCTTCCCTGAAAATGAATTCTGAAATCCGGTGCCTCCGTCTTGTAGTTAATGAGCAAGAAAATATCTTCAACCTACGCAAAATCATCAAAATTGGCTACTTCCAAACTTTTGTTGTTATTGACTACCACGCTCACGATAACTTCGGATTTATGGAAGTTCCGTCGCCTGCTAGTAGTTGGGATATTTTTGTAAAAGTACGTTAATCCATTTTGAGAAGACCAATTTCCATAGTGTTCCAATGCTAGGAAAAATAATGACTGTTGTTTCGGTGTAATAGCAGTTATTGAAAATAGTAAAAAAGTATTTTCTCTTCATCAGTTATAACAAAAGCTGTTTGCTTGCTGTGGAAGTTTTTTTTTTCAAGGACAGAACATAAGCACTACAGGGAAATCTTTAAGGCGCTCTAAAAGCGGTACCTGTGCGAAAGTAGCGATTCAAGTTGGATTTGAATCATTTGGTAAACCGTTCTCGGGAAGTGCATTCCACATGCACGCAGTTCTCCAAATGAAAGAGTTCTTAAGCAGTGAAGTTCGAGGTGTACTGAGTTGAACCTCAAAACGATGAGCAGCCACAGTCCGTCGCGTATTTCTGATATGTACCGCTCTTGGTGGAAATGAATGTGCCAAGTCACTTGAACATCTCCCGTGAAAGTATCTATAGAAGAGAGATAAATCTCCAACCTTTCTTCGATGTTCCAGGCTATCAAGGTTGCATGTGATGTTCACGTCTCCAATCAGGCGTATAGCTCTTTTGTGGATGGAATCCAGCAGCTTCAGGATATGCTTAGGGGCGGAGCTCCATACATGTGAATAATACTCCAAAGGAGGCCTAATCTGAGATTCATAAAGCATCAAAAGTTGCTGAGGTGTGTAAAGTGTTCTTGTTTGGAACAGTGTTCCAAGCTTTTGAGAAGCAGCTTTTGCAATTCCAGCGACATGATTGTGCCAAGACATACTGAAGTCCATTTTAACCCCCAACAAACTTATCGAATCAGAAATCGGAATTCTAGCTCTGTTACGCCAGAAACGCAAAGTAAGGAAATCGCATTTAGAAAATGCCAAAATTAGGTACTTTTTAAATGCTCAATTTTCATTTGCTATCGTCCAACCCGTGTTAGGAATCACACGTTAAAAAGTAAAACCTCGTTAGTTCTTAGCTCGCACAAGTTTCGATTTCTGAGGGTTATCGTTCGTAGGGGTGCGATAGCTGGTTAACGGAAAAAACATATTTCCAACATTTTTTTAATGGTGGTTATTGGGTCCATAAGCCCCATATGAATTATGGAATCTAGATTTACTATAAATATCTAATTCTCATACCCTGTAAGAACTCAGTCCATCAGTCATAGTGGCATCTAGGTTTACTATTATTTATCTAGTGAGCACCTTATTAGCACTTTATTTTGATTGTCTATGTATTAGTTTACGAGTATCTCAAGACTTTATTGCATATTGTTAATTTTTTTTGTCAAATCATTTATCTCGATTTTTTTTTCACTTATTCGCGGTCGTTTTCATCTTAATTTCTTGCAAGCACCTAATTACCACTTTATTACCACGCTTAGTTTATACCTGATAGAGCATTCGTCCTCGTTTTCGAGAGACCTGATTCTTAGATCTGTTGTTTAGCGAAATTGGAAGCTTTTGTTTATTAATTGGAAAATTTTACGATCCTCGCCGTTTAGCACTTAATTAGCACCTAATAGTGTTTCCTTAACATTCATTATTTTATTATTATTTTCATTGCGTTGGTAGCATCACATACTGCTAGCAACACAACTTTGAGTATTGAGTTGCGGTGTAAATTACAGAGCACCTACTTTTTGACTTCGGTACCTAAAAAGTACCTAATTTTGGCACTTTCTGAATGCGATTTCTGTACTTTGCGTTGCTGGCGTAACAGAGCTTGGAATTATGTCCTGACATTATTATATCCAGTTCGGAGACATTTATCTCTTTAGAGAGAACTGATGCCTGTATTTATGCTGTTAGTCTGTAGTAGATTTTGTATCGATTTCAGCAACACACATAAAAATAATAGATGAAAGTAAAGGACTGCACAACCCAAAAATAAGGAATAAACTAATTGTAATGCTTACCTGTGTTTGTGGTTAATGGAAAATTAACCAATTCCACCACTAACACAAGTGGATATGGGTCTAAAGTAACAACGGCGTTCGAAAATGTGAATTAACTTGCTAACATGGACTATTTTGGGCCCCTAATACGGCAGTTGCAAGTAATATTCACATTTTCACATGCATTTCTGTGCAACACAAAGAAAGCATCTTGAAAAATTTAAACGACTATGGGAGAGCTGAACAGAAACGAATTCAACACAGAAATGTATAATAGAACTGACTGTTCCGCTATACAATAACATCTTTGGGCGTCACAATACTCGACGCCCGAAGATGTGACGCCAGAAGATGCTATTGTATAACGAAACACATGTCGCGGTTTTGTAAACATTCGAATGGAAATCTCACATAATAATATAATAATGAATGTTTATTTATCAAAAATCACAATCTTGAATGCAAAATGTTTATGTGAGTAGTGCTTAAGAGCTGAAATAATAAACAATATGGCAGTAAGATTAAACTGTTTACCATTCCTCTTGAAGATGATCACTTGGTGATCGAAACAGGGGCCGAGGTGTTAAAAATAACGGTTTGGTGTTGAGATGAAACTTCAGTAATAGTCATGAGACAATATGAACACCAGAATAATATAAAAGATCCGAGAAGTGAATAATGTAGGTTATGGCTTTGTGAATGGTTTATATGCATGTATTCAACAAATGACATTTAAAATTCTTACTCAAACTTTCTGGCTTTCTAATTTTGTAAGGTTGGTATATATTCACTTCCAAATGGTCAAAAACCGCAACGAAAACTTCGCTCATCGGAAAAACATCACAATATTTTATTTTGCTCAAGAATCTGTAGTAGGAGCTGATGTCTAATAAAAATAAATGTTTCAGTGGATACCTGAAGAGGTTGGACACGTTCATCTGAAAATCATAAAGTTTCAGACACAACATTACTTACTAGTTACAGGACTTACATGATTTAGAATATAATCAACATTCTTGCAATTGATGAAGTCCATTACGAACCAGTTACTGGTTGGAGAGTGTCGAAAAAATTTCTCCAGTTCTTGCGAGCTAACGTTTTGCCGAATTTTTATCATCTTTGGATATTCTGATCGAAAATTGGATTTCAGGAATGACATAATCTTGTCTGGTGACGAAAAAAATCAAATGGAGATGTAGAATATATACAGCAGACATTTTTATATAAAAAACATGATTTCCCTTGGGCCCAATTTGACTGAACGTACGTACCCCTTTTTTCAAGTAATAATGCGAATATGGTTAAATCACTTACCAACGCGATATAAAATTTGATTGAGTTGAATAAATTATCTGAAAATCAACCCTTTCTGAGTATTTAAAAAAAATATTTGTTGTGAATGAAGTAAAACTTTTTAACAAGGATACTTATTTTTAAACCCATTTGTACGCTGAAAATATTGCGATTTAAAATGAAAAATGATTTTTTCGAAAATTCCCAAACCGAAAACACTCTATATACCTCACATTTATAAATAAAATAAAAGTATTACAACTGAGAAGGAGTATTCATGTCGGAAATGTTCTCATTTATCAAATGATTACGTGGGCAGTTCAAAAAATAAAGTGAATGTTCAAAATTTCGCGGGCTACGTACATATTCGATTAGCATTTTTTTTATGTTGGTACACTCGTCTCGAACATATGTTCACAGTTTCAGCTGCTCAGCATGTTGAGTTTGTTGATGAGAGGCATAAAAGTTAGAATTGTTTTGAGTGTTCGGCGATTATTTTGCTATCGAAAAAATTGATCATAGAATTTGCTCAAATTTTGTGTGAAACACTGAATTAGGTTCTCATAAACACTTGTTATGTTGACAGTGGCGTACGTTGATTGTATTCTTGGTCCGAAAAATGTTAACAAGTGGTACGAGCTTTTCACACAAGGTCGAGAAGATATGAATGACGACGCTCGCCCTGGTCGACCAAGTACATCAGCAACCGATAAAAATGTTCAGAAAGTGAAGGCAGTGCTTATGGAGAATCGTTGATTCACTATTAGAGAAGTTGCTGAGGATGTCGGCATATCGATTGGCTCATGCCATGCAATTTTGCTCAAAAGGGTCATAACTAGTGACTAATCATGGGTATATGGTTACGACATCGAAACCAAAGTCCAATCATCCCAATGAAAGAGCCCAGGCGAGTCTAAACAAAAAAAGACGCTAAGTTCGATCACATGTCGAGGTTTTTTGCAGACTGTTTTCTTTCATTACCGTGGCGTAGTGCATCAGGAGTTTTGGCCACATGGTCGTACAATCAACAACACCGTAATCATTCCTTAGCCACCATATTCACCAGATTTGCCCCCTGAGAGAGCTCAAGGACATACAAAGAAGTGCAGAGCTGCTTCGAGGATTGGAAAAAAAAACTGGCACAAGGGTATTATATCTGAGGAGGACTTCTCTGAAGAGACCGAATAAAAATTGATGAATGAATGAATATTTTATGAGAAAAATGAAAATTGACCTTATTTTTTCAACAGAGTAGTATATTCGTAATAAAAACCTACCTTGTTTCCAACAAACATTCAAAGTTAAAGTGACTTTATGATTGAAGAAGAAATCTGATATGAACGTGGTTTCGTTATCAAATCCAATCACGTATTTTGATAGTAGAATGGCCATGTAAATCGTTAATATGTTCATGATCTCAAGAGAATATTTTCTAAAAAAAGAGTAATTCAAAACACGGATATGAAGAACATTCTTAAGGTCCAGACTGAGTAAGATCTCATGAGGAACTGTTTGTAAAAATCCATTCGGGAGTGACGTTGTATATTAGGAGAATGAAAACTGAATTATAGTTCACATTGATTGACAGGATGTGTAATTTCTCTCCTTAGATTTTTCATAATTGATGGGAATGTCGATAACTACCTTAATATAAATATATGTTTACCTTGTTCTCGATCTTGAATACGTGGTTCTGAGACTAACTTAAAAAAAATATACGATGCGGATATTCCTATTGTAACAAATTAAAGAATTAACTGTCTTAAACAAATTTATTTCTAACAATATTTCACTATCACAAACTAATTTATATTCAACACTTAGCAACTAACGTTTAATTTATCTCCACTATTTGAATTCTTTGTTTAATCGCTCGATTCACGTTCTAAATTCAATTGTCATCTCTGGACGAGAAGCGGGCCTTATATATATCGATAATGATCGTTCTAGATTTCTCTAGTGGTTTCGGTACTAAACTAGAATCTTTGTAATTATCATCTGATAATTTAGAATCATTGGACTTCTGTTGTTGATAGAATTGTAGGTGACTCACAGTAGAGCTTTTTATATTATTCCACGCCAAAGTTCTCAGAAGTTTTCTCAACAAGGATTCTTACCGACGGTCTGTTACAAAGCTACTTTCGACATCGACCGTCGAATGAGAATTAGCTTTCTGTCTATGTATGCACCTTTTACGGCAAGTAGGTAATCAGACCGGTTCTAGTTTTTGGGCTCTGGTTTCATATAAATGCCTGTTTTCGGTATTATTCTGCATACGCAACGAATATTTCAAAACAAATATTTGTAACTGTCTTCAATAAGCTTGATAACTGTGAAATACTAGTTACATCAATAAATTGTTATTGCCAAAAATATGGCATTTCTCATAAATCACGAATTTGTTTCTATCAAATGAAAATTGTTAGCCTCAATTGACACATTTCAATTCAACAATCAACATTTTTCTCAGCAGCTCCGTACATTTTTTAACATTTTTATTGAAAAAATGTTGATTGTTGAAGTGAAAAGTGTCAGGGAAGGAGGAATAAGGTGTAAAGGTGACCAAGTGAATAAAGCTTGTATTTTTAACCAGTTTATCTTGTGAAAAAGAAGGCTGAAAAGTTTCCCTTTTCTGAACTTTGAAGGACCGTAACTTTGTAAATAAGGGAGAGCGCCGCTTTTTTCTTTTGGATTCGTAATCTACCCATCAAAATACGTGAGTACACTAAAAAAATTTTTCAAAATCGCCGGGTGCCCTCATAACGAATATTTACCTGAGTAAGTATTCACAGTTTATAGTAAACTCATAAAAACGGATGGATAACTAGAAACCGATCTGTAAGTCACATACCAAGTTTTTTCTATTATATATTCATTATGGTATCAGGCAGAAAAGTGCATATTTTCCAACTAGTATTTGGCAAATCCTGCTATGAAAGAAGTGGATTAATGTTTTGAAACTTATGAATTATAGAAAAATTACTCATAAAGCTCTGTACTTATTCTCCACTATGCACTGACTGAGGATGGCCCTGCTTGTAGGTAATTTTTTGAACAATTACTGAACTTTCTCATTGAAAGTTTTCCCTAAACTACTAAATAGACCATAGGCATTTCAGGCAAATACTGTCCTGTACCACTGGCCTTGCGTAACATCTCAGTGACGTCACTCGCAGAATTTGTAGGATTTTACAGTACATTCTTTGTTTACCTCACCACTCACTAGGTCTGTCATAAACTTAACATAACCTACATTTAACTTTATTATTATAGTGTTTTACTATATTTTTAAGTAAGTTTAGTTATGTATTACTCATCCATTTGCATTTGCTAAAATTCTTGGTAAACTGACGACGAAAGTTTTTTGCGAATATGAGTTATTGCCGACTTCCTCATTATTTTATGTGTTAAACGTACCTACAGGAATGAAAAAAAGTTATGCTCGCCTGAAGCTCAAGTAAATTAACAATGACTGTTACGTACAATGCCGATGTTGCTACTGTCCATGGATTAGGATGTTTTCTCAAATTACTTGCCAGGTAAGTGCTTCTATTTCATTATGAGAATTATTTCAATATACTTCAGGATTTTGACTTACAGATCTTTTGATTCAACTAACTGAACTAAGTAAGTAAGTACCTATTGAGGGAAATCAACAATACCTTCCTGGAAATTGTATTTTTCATCAGTTACAGTCGTAAGACAATCAGAAATTGTGTGTAGAAAAGTTTAGTCCAATTGGTTACATTATGAATCTTGTGAGAGTATATATGCTCCCCTTAAAATTCTTTAAATATTACCCTTTTCGCACAGTGTACCCAGTTAAGGACATTTTTTTCATTTATAAAATGGATATTCTATGTAACTACCAGATGATTACCAGAATACGTTTATTTGGTACAACTTCTGGAAATTTTAATAAAGTATCTACTTCAATGACATCACCTTTCAATGCTTCAGTGTATAAGTTTTCCACACAAACTGTTATATTTCCAATCACCATTTGAACTATTTTCTTTGCGTAAACTCATCCAATTTCTCTTTTTTATAAGGGATTTTATTGTTATTAATTTATTGACTTCATTTTCTTTTCTTCAAACATGTGTTTATGGTTATAGCTCCATATCATTATTTGATTCTAGTACTGCGTTTGTTCATATCAGCCCACATTTTCAGAATACCATGTCTGTTACTATTGTTCAACTCCTTTGCTTGTTTCTCACCCTCTTTCTAATCTTTTATACTTCAGGTGTGGAGCATGTGTCTTTCATGGGGTATTTTTGATAAAATGTGAAGGTGGATTCATGTGCCCAGTCTTAAAAGTGACCTGCTTTCAACTTTCAACCCAAATATAGAATCTCTTGTAAATCGTAAGCACCAGATTAACAAGTCACATTAATTACATGAGTTTCATTTTTTGTAAAACGTTTTTCGATATTTTGAAAATTAACGTAACTGATATTTTTCATTCATTTTCCATCTCGAAAAGTAAGTTACACATAAAAAATTCTTGATTGCATTTCACATTCTCTAATTCAAATGAAATGCTACTCATTTGTTCCCCTTTGGTTGTTTAAAAAATGTGTTATTAGCCTGGTAACTTGAGATGAATTAATCCATTTATTATGTCTGCCAGTAATCATCATAAAATGTTTATAGATAACAGAAAATTTTCCAAGCTTTTCTCATTCAAATAAAATTCGAATTCAACACTGATGTGTTCGAATGTCAGAACGATTTTGATAATTATTATTACCAATTGAATAATAAATATATGAATATATTTTTCAACTTCTGAATTCAGTATTTTCCAGTAAAAATCTGTTCTGTCTCAAGTTTATATCCTACATGTTCAGGTGTGGAGGAAAAATCTTGAAGCAGGGGAGGAGTTCAATACTCTGAAAATGCTGTTGATGGGAGAATATATTTTATAATGCTTGAAAAATTTCTGAAGTGAGACCTTTGCAATTCTTACTCTTCAAAAGGAATTTCAGGAATTCACAATAATAGAACACAGAAGCATGTGAGGAAAGTTCAGTTCTGTTACGACTTCTATAGTTCACACAGTTATTGCCATCAGTTTCGATTTTTTGAGCAAATCTTATTTATTCTTTGCAAAACAAATACCGCTAAATAAATATCAATTGTGGAAGATATTGACCTTTAGAATGTATGTCAATCACTTGTCAGAACCCAGTTAATATCATGATGCAGAGATAAATCGGCATGTCTTCAAAGAATAGGAAAGCTCCACTTATGAATTGTATTTCTTTGGCAGAGCCGCATTCAGTATTTGTGAATATCACCATGATACAGATAATATAGCGGATATTCATGACATCATCGTGACATCATCAGAGCCCTATACTAATAGACAGGTCCGGCCCCTTGTGATTTGTCGCCTAAGGCGACACAGATTGCAGTCTTCCTTCATCATGAAATATGGAATTCAACGTTCCTTAATAATACAAGTTTGTCACAAATCAACATTTACCTGTATGATATTATTCATCAAAAATATTTTTAATTTACATATTAGCGAGAAAAAAAGTGTTACGGAGAATCGTCGAATCACTATTAGAGAAAGAGAGCCATTACCAAAAGAAGCACGCCAAGTTTAATCAAATGTCAAGGCTTTGCTCACTGTCACTGACATCACTTTAAACCCAATATTCCGGACTAATTTTTTATATTGTTAAAAATGATACGAAAAATGAAATGATAATAATAAATGACATGACGTTACTTACAGCTTGTCAAATCTAGGAAACGAAATCAAAGTCTCGGCTTAGGACCTCCATTAAGATGTGCGTTCGTTAGGAGATTGTGTGTGTTAGAGAGAGAGAGAGAGATATATAATTCTCGAGTCTCTAGTTTTGACAAGCTGCGAAATCCAACATGGCTGCCTCTCAAGATGGCGGACTTGTTTTTTATGCACTCCCATGACAAATGAAAGAGTCAAGTCAAGTCAAAAATGTTTATTAAAGCTTTTGATAACTTACAAAATATTTGATATAGTGTATTTTATGTGGGGCCTTGCTAAGGGCTTATGCCTCTTCAGGGTTAGTTGATTGTGTGTGTGTTGTCTTGTGTAATGATGTCTAATGTTGTGTTGTCTTATGTTGTCAAGTGTTCCTCTTGTTTTTCTTGTTTTTCCGTTGTTCCGATAGAGTGGTCCGGGTCAGTTGCAGTGGTCACTGGAATATGGGTACAGGTTGTAAGGCCGGGACTAAATGGCTTCCGATTTCAGCTCCTTCCAGGACATAGCTGTCCGCTATCTGATTCTCGCTATCTGATTCCCAGTCGGTATTCCTCCAGGATATCCTGGATGTGCTCCAGCGGATCTTCCAATTCTCCCAGGAGTTTTACTAGGGGAAACGGGAGCTTCTTCCTATGTATCATTCTGGCTCCTCCACGGGGAGTCAAAGGTGTTGTCAGCGAGTTGATGGCATCTGCGTTATTACTTCTCATCATTCTTGTCGCATATCGTCCTGGAAGTTCCTGAAATCGTAGGTTGATTGATGTAGTATTTACTAGGTTATATAAGTTTTGAGATGGGTAGCGGTATGAGAGGTTGTGGATGTTGCGTAGGATTCTTCTCTCGGTTGTTAGGATACGGTGGGATAGTCTCGGGGGAAGCGTACAGTATATCATTGATCTGTAGTCTAGGACTGGTCTGATGAAAGTTTTATATGTGTGTAGGATAGTTTTACTTTGGCACCTCCCGAGCTTGCCTCTCAGTGCTTTTAGTAGGTTTGCTCTTTTCCGGACTCTGTCCAGAGTTTCTCTAAGGTCGACCTCCCAGTTGAGGGTCCTCGTGAAGGTGACCCCCCCAGGTAGGATACCGAATCTTGGAGTATGAGGTTTTCTCCTAAGAGTCTGAAGTTTAAGTTATCAGGATTTAATTTAGGGAGGGTAGTGGTGTGAGCATGTCTGAATAGTATGGTTTGGGTTTTGGTGGGACTTATTTTTGATACGAAACTTGTTGCACCACTGCTCGAAGTGGTCGATCATGTTTTGTGCTTGAATTTGAAAGCTGCGGGTGTTGGGAGCGGAGAAGTAGAGGATAGTATCATCGGCACACTGGAGGATTTTCTGGGTCGTGGGGACGCCGTGAGCGTGAATTAGAAATAAGGAGGGAGCAAAGACTAAGCCCTGAGGGACATTGGATTTGGGGAAAAGGGGGAGGATAAGGCAAAATGGAAGAGTTTTCTGGACAGAAATCGAGAAAAATTTGTGTCACTTTGAATTCGATATGGCGAACTGACCAAAAAGGCGGGCTATTTGTATTTTATGCACTCCCATGATTTGATATCGAATGAAAAGGGTTGCTGAAAAAAATACGAAAAATGAAATGACTCTAAACACAATATGGTGGACTCAGAGAGGAGGTGGAGAGGAGGTTTTCATACACCTGTATGATATGTTCAAGGTTCAATTACGTTAGTAATTCTACGACAAAAATTATGTTGATGGATTTTATTTAATCAACAGCTTATTCTCTTCTGTGGGAAGCTTTTTAGTTTTCCACTTTTGAATCATTAAACAGAAATGATGGAGAAGAAGAACGCAAAAGTACTAATCTCTCCTAAAAACATTCCTTCTTCAATTTATTTTTCTTCTTCTTACTATTAATTTATTTATGTTATTTTCTTTTTACTCTTTGAAAATCAGTTTGCTTTCGCATGCATCAATGAAATAAATGATCGTGTGTTTGCTTCCGAGAAACCGCGGATATATAATTAATAATTACATCAGTTTATGTTACAGTTTCAATAATAGGTTTACTTAGCAGATTGTCATCCAGATAACGAATGAAACATATGGTTATTCAAGGTTTTGTCTTTTTACCGCAGCACATAAACACGTTGATTACATGCTTGCTCGCGGAATCATTTATCAAATATACTCAACGTGCCAATTATTACGAAAGCCACTCACATCTACTGTTCTAGTCATCGTATAATGGAATTGATGAAACTTTCATGATTACAATTGGACTTGCCTTCATAAGAATAATCGATTTTGGCGGCAGGATGATTTACATGATACTCTGGTAGTTCATGTTTCCGGTTGAGGTTAATGAACTCAGTTTTTATACTACAGGTGAGGGCAATGAGGGGATTAAGTCAAATGCAATGACCATTGTGAAATTTTATTCATTTTACTGTATTTTAACTTCATAACACTTGACGAACAAATGATATATGTTTTATTAGTCAGTGGGATATGCTTGAAGACTGGCACTAAACAAATCTAAAGAAATGAACTTTAAACGTTCAAGCCAGTCTCGAATATACCTACACAGTAGGTTGAATGGACTGACCTACTGTGTAGGTTGAATAGGTGAACGATTAAAGTTCATTTCTTTAGAAATTATATATGATTGATATTATCAACAAACACTTTGAAAATGGAGTTTATAATGTTGGAGAGCAAACATATTTAGTATTACTCATCAACTGACATAATTTCTAAGATTTACAAAACATTGTTTTTTCAGATGGAGGGGAAGTATTTACAAGCTGGTATGGATGGACTTGGTAGTGTTTTTACTAATATATTATGGCTTGAATATAATTTATCGATGGATCTTGGATAAAGAAGGAAAATTGTAAGTTTTTATATTAGGAAGAAATACAGTAAGATTTATGTTAGGAAGAAATACAGTGTTAAGTATTTGCGTTCATTGTAAGATTTACAAAACCCCAACACCGTTTCACTATAGGTACAGTAGTTTCTTCAGATGTGTTCAAGACAAACTAAATTCGCTAGTTCCCTGTACCACTACATAGTATGAAACAAAGTCGCTTTCCGCTGTCTGTCTCTATGTAAGATCAGATCTTTGAAACTACGCAACGGATTTTCACGTGAGTGTTTCCAATAGATAGAGTGATTTGAGAGGAAGGTTTATATGCATAACATAGTGGAGAAACACTGATAATTTTGGAGATTCCTAATGTGATGTCATAAATAAACACATTTTTTGTCCTTAAATTGCAAACGCTTGCTGAACCCTACGAGATAGATCAAAATAATGTACTACAGTATTGTACACCTTGAAAAGGACTACAAAAAAGTCCGCGATGGTATGTCTATCTCTTAGGGATAACCCACAATAACAATTTTTTATCATCGAGAAATAATGGCTTATTTACGAAGCGATTTTAAGCAATATAGTATTAATCTTTATCCAGTTAAGTACCTCAAATACATTGTGCATTTATAACCGATCAATATGCCCCTTCACTGCATGTAATTTGAATGAATATTTTCGAAGATATTACAGATTTGAAATGCAGCGACATAGTGGTTGCGGCGGTACCGGCTGGGGGCGGCGGTGGGTGCCTATAAATAGCGCGTCGAAGGCCGCACTTCGCCCCCTAATGATTAGTAGCGATCGCATGCGTTTATATGTACATTTAGTATTAGCATTGCACCCGTACGGAGCCGGAGGGGTCGCTATTGCATTACTAATTTTAAGTTTGACTTTTAGCACTGACATAATGACTAATAATTTTATATTCTAGAAACAAACTGATTCAATTTGACATATAATTGAATAAACCTACATGGGTTTACATGGTTCCAGAATGGTCACTTGCCCGAATTATAAAAAATAAGTACCATTATACCCATACCTAAAGTTACAAACACTATAAAAGCAAGTGAACTTAGACCTATTAATATCTTACCGCCAATATAGAAAGTTTTAGAAATAGCAGTATATAATCAATTATTATTTTAAGTTAGCTAACCTGTATATTAGGGAATCCTAATTCAATAAATGAATTCAATTCAATTAATATCGCAATATTCAACTAACTACCAATTTCAAATTGAGTTTCAAACATTTTCTTCCAAAGTTTAAGTGAGCAAACTCATGCTCTTCTTGTTTGCAAATGTGAAATTGGTTTTCACATTAAAATAATACTTCTGTGCTCTTTTATTTTTTGGAAAAAAGTTCTCCCAGTTTGACCATTATAAAATTTAAGACAATGACCATGAGCCAACTTAAATAATCCTGATCAATCCGACACTGAGTTTTTTCTTTAACGTTTTTAACAGATTTGCTCAAAGTAGATCAATTTCATACGACGCCTACTATTGTTTTTTGAAGTTGCATAGACTCTGTTCATGAAATAGGGTGCTAGCAAAAAAACTAAGATTACCTTGTTTGTTTGCTTTCAGTAAAAGATCTTTCATTTGGCCGCCTCCTATCTTTAAATTTAAACCAAGCAAAGTGTGTGTGAGATATAATCGAAACTTTTTATTCCTTTGAATGACCTGATGTCATTATGTGTGGAATATAGTTTAGGTAAGGTTAGGTCCAAAGTGAATGGGTCTATTCGAACCTCCACCTCCACCGCACACTCGACTAAATAAACCCAGCTTCTTAACGAAGCCTATTAGTTTGTATGGTGAGTGGTCTTTCAGGTCAGATGGTAAGAGTACGGCTCTGCCGAACTCTAAACCTGATTCGGTCCTCAGCCGGGCAGGCACAGAGTATGTGCTCTGCTGTTTCATCATTTTCCAAACAGAAGTCACACACACTGTCTTCCGACAGTCCGAGTCTCTGCATATGATGATTCAAATTACAGTGACCTGTAAGAAGGTCTGTTAGACATCGTAGTTCATCCCTACTGTAGTCCAACAATTGTTTAGTATCAAGCTTCGAAGGGTGAATAAACACCTTGGAGTGAGCCAATTCTGGAAGATTCTGCCAGAAGTCCATGAATCTTCTTGCCATCCAGGTGTTCAATATATGTTTGGCAAAGCCTAAAGCGATGCCAATGTCTGGTTCTGGTCCGATGAAGCTGATTGCCGCATCCTCCTTTGCAAGGGAGTCAGCAGCCTCATTGCCTTCCAGGTCAGTATAGCCAGGAATCCAGACCAGAGACAATATGTTATGTCTTCATATCTCGGAGAGTCCTTTTTGGTAATTTGCTACCAATTTAGACGTTTCTCGGTAGGAGCCAAGAGCTTCCAACGCCGTTTGACTGTCCGAGAATATTTTTATTGACTTGTGTATGAGGTTGGATTCTTCCAACATATAATTTCCGCTTAAAATACGGTCGCAAAGGTTCCTAGGAAGGTTGATATCTCTGTACTAGGTCTGCGACTGAAAACACCTCCACAAGAACAGGAAGGTGTTTTGTTCTTAATATGTCCTTCTCCCGGAGGATCCAGTCTTCTCTTCTCGGGAACAGTACTTTATAAAACAGTTCATAGTTGACAGTTGGAAGCATGAAGTCAGAGGTCATTTCCAGAATGCCGTGACCTCCAGTGTCGACCAACAGTCTGTTACACTCTGCATTAAATTGATTTGTGCAGTTGGCAATGTGCACACGTCTATAAGCAGTCCATCTAGCCTCTCTCTCCAGAAAAATGCGGAGACGAGGTAGATCTAGAAGGATCTAAATGGCCGCTGATGGTGTGGTACTGATGGCCAGACAAGCCTGTCTCTGTAAGCCAGAGAGATTGGCCTGGGCCGTTTTCTGTAAACCCTTCGGCCACCAGGCCATTGCACCATAAGTGATCATTGGTCTGACAATCCAATGGATCACCAGGAGCGACCACAGAAGGGGAGATAGTACCCCACCTCTGGTGACCCTGAACCTAATGGCTTCGCCTTAAAGAGTCGTAGTGAGGAATATAACATCGTTCAAATGTCCGTCGAAGCTTCTCTGGGTGGAGTGCATCCGAAACGCCCAATTTTCTGGCGCATAAATCAGGCTGAGTTTGACCGATGGCATGGGATATGTTGGCTTTGAGCACCACTGTGGTTGTGGATTATTCGCATACACCTGCGACTCAAGAAAACCCCACAAGAAAATGTCTAATGGGGTCAAATTGCACGATCTTGGTGGCCAATTCACATTACCTCTACGTGAGATGACCATGCCCTCAAATTGCTCCTACAGAATATCCAATGTGGCATGAGCTATGTGGCACGAGCTATGTGGCACGTAGCGCCGTACTGTTGAAACCGCATGTCGTTGGTGTCCAGATCATCCAATTCAGGCCAAAAGAAGTTGGTAGTCATCGACCTATAGTGCTCGTCATTGACAGTGATGGCCTGGTCAAAATTCAGAAGCACATTTTTGACAATAATAATTATCAAAACTGGTGCAATCTTATTGCACCCAAAAGCAATAAGTGACACATTGAATCCAGTCTTCTTTACGTGAGGTAACAAAATAATTTTCTCCACGTCCGACACAATTATTTTCCTCTTGATCATCATCACATGGATCGTCGTCACTTTCAAAAATCACATTAGTGACTTCCTCTGAACTAGAATATTGAATTTTTTCTTGAAAACTCTCTTTTTTACAGTCTTCATATTTTTTTTGTAATGCATTTTTCCTTTTCTTTGCGGCCAACTGCTCCAATTCCAGTTTTTCAGGAGTATCGGTTGAAACGTTTTCTTCAAAGCTACTGCATACTGATATGCTAGTTTCATGAATTGCTGTTTAGGTATGCCATAATGAAATTGGATGCCGTTAAACAATACTCGACTTATTGCTCTTCCTCTTCATCATTGAAGACTCTCTTCATAGCATTATTGGGTTTGACAGTTGTAGTTTCGTTTTCTTTATTCAGCTTTATGACCTATTAAAGATTTTGAAACCTTAAACTCTTTGGCAGCTTTTTGGATAGAACATCGTTTTTCAATCACCTTTTTAACGGCATTTATAAAATTTTCTGCAATTTGTTGGGGTCTAGTAACGTTATTTTTACCCCGAAGCATCTAAAATAACAGTAAAAAGAATAATTGTAAGTAAACTAGAGTAGGCTATAGAAAATATCAAATGCTTGTACCTAGGGACAGTCCCAAGGTAAAAAAATATCACTGTCCCAAGGTACGAATTTCGTTTGTTTTGCAAAAAAGTGTGGTTAAGTTTTTTCAATCGGAAATCCAGTATTTAACTGCTAAATAAGTTATTACAAATGTAGTTATCACCTAATTATACTCATATCAGATTACTTACTTTAAAAATTTTCAGGAAACAACAATTATTACGCATATGAAAAGAAAAACGCACGCGAAAAATTTGACAACGCACCGCAATGACGTGACGAGTCAAAATGGCCGACTTTGTTGAGTACAATCGAATTGTTGTTTTAAATGACCGCTAGATGTTGGTGGAGGCAATTCTCGGGCTAAATTTTGTAATGATTATAAAGTTATCTCGAGGTACAAGGATCTCCCCTAATTTATACTCATACAAAAAATCATTCTTGTGTCGCTTCGCCCTTTCAATAATTTCCAAGTGGAATTAAATGTTAGATAATATTTCTCTATTATTATTTATGTTCATCTTAACCATTGGCTGCTTATAACATTATTGATTTCAATGAATTGATATTTATTTATAGGGTTTTTGAGCAAATAGTGAGGTACTGTGATGATTATGCAAATTTGATACCCTTATCGTTTGTGCTAGGGTTTTATGTGTCTATCGTAATGACCAGATGGTGGAACCAATATAGAACCATCCCACATCCAGATCCATTAGCCGTATTTGTGAGTGCCACCGTTCATGGGCACGTAAGTACAAAAAAATTTATGTAACCGATATTATGTTTTGTTTATTTGAATAATTTCCATTTGCATAAAAATGTTTCGGAAGCAGAAAATTGCGCTTTTTTCCATATGAATTTTGATTGAATGCGACAAAGTTCAGTTATGCTTGTGGAAAAAATCTACATATTTATCTAAAGAATGTGATAAAGTAGAAAGTAAATGAAATAGTAATTCTTTTCTACCTATGCATCAGGCAGAATGATAATTTAATATACAGAGTGGCCACTTTATTGATGGGATTGTCTCGGTAACTTTTAAACCATAAGAGTTAGAAGGTAGGTCATATGGAGAAAAAGTTGCATTCTTAGAAGAGCACGTCAAGTGGTTCAAACAAATCGAGAATATCACGGCCGGTTATTGATATATCATAAGAAAAGTAAATTATGTCGTTTTGACTTCTTTTTTTTCCCACGTTATTTCAAAATGTACGGACCTGCATATTTCATGACACTTTTCGATATAACTTTTCAAGCTGAATTCAACGATATATCATGCAATGTAATTCAAAGTTGATTTTTAGGTTATTATGACCCTTATCCAATTTTTTTTTGGTTCGGATCTGTATTACATTTACCTTTAGTTTAATTTACAACATGCAATACGATAGATTGCCTTTTATGTTTGGGGATTTGGCAACCCTAGTGTTGCAATCTGTCAACTGACAGCTCTATCGTAAAGTTGGACATTTTTGAGCTTATACGTATTCAGAACTTTTTGATATACGCGCGCTATTTGTGTTGTCTGTTTACAGTAACTTAAAAGATTCAACTCGGCCCAAAAATGGAATTGAATCGTGAACATTTTCGTGCGATTATTTCTTACAACTTAAAACTTACAACGACGTGGATTAACTCAGCAACAGTGCATGGATGAACTTAATTCAATTTTTGACGATGAAGCTCCATTAAGGACCAGTGTTTATCGATGGTATGGTGAATTCAATCGTGGTCGTAGTTCACTCCAAAAAGAATTTGATTGTCAAAAAAATTTGTTCGCGTTGGATCCCACACAACTTGTCAATCGCTCAAAAAAAGGATCGTGTCGATTGGTCGAAGGAAATGCTCAAAAAATACGATCGCGGCGCTTCGAAACACGTCTATGACATCGTGTCAGGTGATGAATCGTGGATTTACGCGTATGAGCCCGAAAGTAAACAGCAGTCGACTGTATGGGTGTTAATACAGTATCATAGTGATATCATTTATTTGAACATTCAGAGTATCTTAGCAAATAGAAACGAGCTTATAGTAAGAATCTTATGTTATAATCCTGCTTTAGTGCTATTTAGTGAAACCCGTACAACTGGAGATATAGAGGATTCAGAAATTTATCTCCCAAACTATAATTGTGTCCGTTGAGATTCGATGTCCAGACACACAGGAGGGGTTATACTGTATATAAGAACAGATATAAAATTTTCGATATATAAAGCATTTATACTTGAAAAAAATTACTGGTGTAAAGCTATAAGGGTTACTTTAAATGAACAAATTTACATAATTGGCTGTCTGTACCACTCGCCAAATTCCAGTCATTCTGTATTTCTGAGTGATTTTGAAAATATGTGTGAAACTTTCTTCAATCCCAAATATAAATGTGTTCTTGCTGGAGACTTCAACTAAGATATCCTTAGTAATGAATATTATTACACAAAAATGAAAAATATGTTGAACATATTTGGAATTGAACAAATTGTAACTCAAATAACCAGATGTGCTCAATATAGCAACACCATTGTTGACTATGTACTCACCAATTTTGATGTTAATACTGTCGTTTCTAGCCAATTTACTACACGACGTTTCGATTGTTAGGATCCACAATCGTCTTCGGGTGATGATGACAGTCTGCACTCTGTGCTCCTTCTTTATATATCTATAAAATATTCCTTATTAAAATAATTTCACAAGCTTCTCTGGTTGTCGGTATTTAATAGAAATATGCTCTTCTAGAAACAGTTTTAAAAAATCAGGCAATGTTGTAATTATATAAAAGGAGACAGGAAAAGTCGTCGTATCTCCAATTTGATTTTATTGTTTGAAAATTTAGTAAACCGATTAGAAATACTCATTGCCTATAGATTAACGTTCAAAATTATTTTTATTTTCTCAGGACGAACGCGGAAGGGTGATGAGAAGAACCATCATGAGATACGTTTGCTTATGTGTCACTATGGTTTTCACTATGATATCACCTAGAGTAAAAAAACGTTTTCCGACTTTAGACCACTTCATCGAAGCTGGTCTGCTTCAGGAAAGCGAAAAAGAAATTTTAGCTAACTTAGATAAGAAATTTCCCAGGTACTCCAAACACTGGTAAGTATCACTTTAATTTAGGACTGATATAACTAATAATCATACCTTGAATGAAATCCTTCGTTTTCTGCACGTTTTTGAATGTTATATAGAGTAAAATGGGCTTGTTTCATGCTATTGAAAATAATACTGGTTTGCTTATAGACTGATCGAGTTAGGGTTACATTATACTTATCGAGCTCAATCGGTCCCAATACCCCTTTATATTTGCAGAAAAAATAAAAATTCGAGAAGCAAGAGTTTAAATTGACCGCGTGTCTGTTCACCAATAAAATTAATCGTGTCTACAGCGGTGTTGCCAAGTGTTAATTATTTTAACAAAAATACTAAGTTGTGAAACATTAGAAAGAGTACATTGTCTCGTACATTCAAGAGAGGTAGCTGACTGGATGGCAATATGGCTAATATATAACGTTGAATTTCTTATTTTAGGTGGGTGGCATGAATACATAATTGATTTATTTTATTAGGGTTCATGACAGTCATTCTGTATTTCTGAGTGATTTTGAAAATATGTGTGAAACTTTCTTCAATCCCATACGTATAAATGTGTTCTTGCTGGAGACTTCAACTAGGATATCCTTAGTAATGAATATTATTGCACAAAAATGAAAAATATGTTGAACATGCTTGGAATTGAACAAACTGTAACTCAAATAACCAGATGTGTTCAATATAGCAACACCATTGTTGACTATGTACTCACCAATTTTGATGTTATTACTGTCGTTCATGATTCCCCAAAGTTAACTGATCATTTATTAATAACAGTCAATTTGAGTAATTGCAATATATATGTAGCACAAAATATCACAAAAACTTTTTGTTGAGCCGTGTTGATGTAGATATATTTTATGAAGACTTCAAAAATCAGCGTGAGTCAGTTGTTGACTCAATTGCACCAGAAAGATCATATACTTTGAAGTCAAATAGTGTACCATGGTATGACAAAGAGGTTAAAATACATTGTGACAAAAGAGATTGGGCTTACAAGATGTTCAAAAATAATAGAACTGAAAGAAATTGTAACCACTATAAATTTCTTCGAAATAAATGTGCGAATTTACTGAAACTCAAAGAAAAAAAAACACTATTATGATAAAATTGATTAAAATATGTCAAAGCCGAGGATTATGTGGAAAACTCTCAAACAGCTTCTAAGTCCAAAAACGAATAGCAATATGTTTACTGATGGTATTTATTTCAAAATGAATGGTCAGTCAGTCATTCATAAAAATAATCTAGATATCATTAAACAATTATTTTATTGATAGCGTACAAGAAATTGTGAACACTATTGATCAGTCTGATTCACTTCATGAGAACAATGTTATATCGATTAACAACTCCTTCGAGAAATTCAAAATGTTGGAGTTAGCAGATCAGTCTAAATTGATCAACGGAGTGGAAATGAAATACAGCAGTGAAATACTCAACTGCAAACTTATTAAAAAAACGTTTGGTGTTATAGGACATGCATTGTTGCATTTTTATTGTTGCACATTGACTTTCCGGACAGGGCCTCTAGTCCAGGGCCGTTCCCCTATCCGCCACCTGGGGACGCCCCCCGATAGGTAGCCCAATCCAAAATGAATAGGTGAGGTGATACGTTTACATCATTTTACACCATATGCCACTCAGTCCTCGACACGGCCTCACCTTGACTTGGTTGGTAATTTGGTGAGGGATGCGCCACTTTTTTCAGCTTAGAGCTTACTCGTGTCTGACGATACTCCGTTATGGGTTTAATTTTGGAGTTTTCCTTCTCCCAGACGGTTTGCAGACCAATGCTAATGACGCCCATCTCACCAAATTACACTAGTCATGGTATGCCTCTTGTGCCTGTTCCTCACAT